AAGTTTAAGTCTTTTTCAGTTAGACCAGGAAGGCACTTTTGAACGTCAATAATATAAATTTAAAAGTGAACTATTTGCTCATTCCAAGGTGTAGATTCCTAAGGAGAAGAACGAGCAATGCTGCTTTTTCGGTTATTATTTTTGCAACTTGCAATTACGCACTGCGGCATCGTGAGACGTGAGTACGTTGGCCGTGTTTGGAGCATACTAAACAAAATAAGAGCTCACTTCTCAAGTGAGCTCTTATTTGTCGAGACGATTTTCTTGCGCCGACCCGATATCTAGTTGTTATTGTTGATCGAAGGTTGGAAAACTCCAACGTATGTATTTAAATATTCCCATTAGAAAGTAAAAGGTCTGGCTGGGGTAACGTTACCCAGCAGGAAATGTTTTTGTGAAATAATTAAAAAAGTATAAGCGCAACAAATTCAAAAATGTGCGCAACAATTACAGAAGCCGCACAACTAATTATCCACAAGATTCAAATGACCATTTTCGACAACATCTGGCCTGGGTAACGCACACGGGATCTCCTCAACGGTTAACAGTAGCTACCTTGTGTTTGGGTTTGATTAATTTGTATTGATGAGGACTTTACACCTAGGTGGAGTGTAATTGTCAATAAGGGTCTGATGATCAAGTAGTACGGTAGTTGAGGAAACTCCTCAACGGTTAACAGTAGCTACCTTGTGTTTGGGTTTGATTCATTAGTATTGATGAGAACTTTACACCTAAGTGGGGCGTAATTGTCAATAAGAGTCTGATGATGAAGTAGTGCGATAGTTGAGGGATCTGGAAATCCTCAACGGTTACCAGTAACTATGTTGTGTTGGGGTTTGATAATTTGTATTGATGAGGACTTTACACCTAGATGGGATGTGATTGTCATTAAGGGTCTGATGTTGAAGTAGTACGACAGTTGAGAGAACTCCTCGGTGGCTACCAGTAGGCTACGCCCCCCAAAGGCGTGCGTGCGTACGTGAGTGCATGGGTTCGATTCCATAAATTTTTAATAATCTAGGTAGTTTAACTCGTCGAGTACCGGTTTTGTAGACACAATTATAGAACAATAGGTTGCGGTCACCGGTGACCGCTTGGTGTTTGACAGTTTAAAGACGTAGGTTTTCATCGGTAATGAAATGGGGTTCGGACACCGGACCTACACAATTGCTTTTTTTTTATAAGGATACCTACCACCTTCAAACCTCCAAAAAAAGAGCGTATTCCTTTTTAAAAGGCCGGCAACGCACCTGTGTCTCCTCTGGTGTTGCGGGTGTCCAGGGGCAGCGCTGATCGCTTACCATCAGGTGAGCAGATGGAGCGGGTGGGTACTCCATAAAAAAGGAGCCTTTTAGGCAAACCCGCACAGCCTGCCAATACCGCTGCAACACCTTTACCTACAGTAGATATAACTATGAAAAATCCCTGAAGGCGGGCGCGTCCCAGGGATATAAATAAGTCTTGGTTCCTGCAACGAAATAAATTATTTAACATTTATTAAAGGAGAAGAAAACCAATAATTTCCACTTGAATTTAATGCAGGAGGCAGAATGACTTATGACTTATTAAAGGTAGATAAAGACTGCACAACTGGAAGATGTCCAGTCGCTAAATACCACGGAAATACTAAAAACTAACTGGGTCCCGTATGTGAGCCGTTACTGATACTGGTTCGAGTTGTTTTTATCGGGTATGGCAGAAACGCTCAAAAAGGGATTTTGTTCTAGATATCTCAAGCAGGCCAATATTTCGTCAGTAATTTTGAAAATTAGCAATTTTTAACCGACTTCCTAAAAAGGAGGAGGTTTTCACAATTTTGAAGCGCTCATTCCGAATTTCGTTTTACCACCTCGTATGCACACCGTTGTTGTTTGTTTTTAGCTGCCGTATTTTACGAGAAAAACAAGTTCTACAAAGTTTTCCAACTTTTCAAAGCCTTTTAGGAAAAACTTATTATTTGTAGAGAATTTTGTGATCTACAATTTTGTACTGGGGTAATGTTGCGAAAAACTCACCGTTTCGTTAAATGCTCATTTTTTATATTTGACCTCGTGTCAAATATTTAGCACATATCGAAACGATGAGGACCTTCGAGGTTTCTTTTATATGTAATCATGTTTCTCTGCTGACTGCCTCGTTAGCCGAGTGGTCGCAATTGCGACTGCCGGGCAAGGGGTCTCGCATTCGATTCCCGGGTCGGGCAAAGTATTTCTGGGTATTTTGAAAAAATCTCAGTAGTAGCACAGAGTCTGGAAATGTGCCCGGTATGTAGCAATAGGCCCTTATTACATGGGACTCGTAACATAAAATAGTGAAAAGTGGGTGCTACATTGTACAGTATATTCTTTCTGCCATGCTATAGCAAAAATGGAAACCAGTGTCTGCATATTAATTTATTCTTTAATTATATATCTACCTCAATGTAACAATTTAGACATAAAATACACACATGAAACCACTTAAGTTATAAAATATATATGTATATGTGTACCTAAAGTAGAAGTTTGCCCATATTATTTACAATATAAAAAGTACTTTGATGACATTGACACAACAACAAAATATTTAAAATACCTAGGTATATCTTTGGAACAATTTTATTAATTTTTACAAACTTCCGAATCCTAAACACAAGTATACTAAATAATTGTTACCACTAATAACTAATAATAGTTGTTAGGATTACAGTAAAATCACCAGTGCTGGACAAAGAATTGGCTGTGCTTAATAGGTGCCAAAAATTTATGTTTTATACAAATATTATGCTATAATATAATTAGGTAATAGTCCTCATGAACTCTTGGGTGAATGTCAGAATTCGGATCGGATCCTACTAATATTATAAATGCATAAGTTTGTGAGGATGTATGTGTATGTGTGTGTGTGTGTGTGTGTGTGTGTGTGTGTGTGTGTGTGTGTGTGTGTATGTGTGTGTGTATGTGTTTTTGTTTGTTACTCGTTCACGCTAAAACGGCTGAAGAGAGTGAGATGATATTTGGAACATAGGAAGATTAAGCTCTGGAATAACACATATGCCACGGGAATGCGGGCGAATCCGCTGGCACAAGCTAGTCCCATTATGATTACTCGTATATAAGGAGTAATCATAATTACAACATGCTGTGACATTTAGTTTATAAAGGCAAATATCAAAAACTAAAGTGTCATTCAAAAAACTTACAAGAAAGGTCGGAGAAGTATGTTACCAATACTGAAAATTAAAAATAAAACACTAAAATCAAACTAAGAGTTCCACCACCTGTGTTTTTACTGTAGGTCGCCGTCCCAACATTGGCTGATTATAAATCGATCACTAAGTTGTGAATTTGATTAATAGATATTGAACCTTATCCTTCTACAATTAAATTGAATATCTATTAATGAAAGTAACATCTTAACAACCGATTTCAGTCGTTATTCTTTCAGCTTTGGTATACTGAAGTTACAAATTTTTATTGCTGATTCTTATCATCAAAACGTACAATTTTCATTGTTTGTTGATTTTGGGCCCACTCCCAGCAAAATCTGTTTACATTCATCCTAATCACACATACAGTATACACTTCTATTCACTTAAGACTGACATAGTACTAAATGTTTTATGTATAAAAGCAAAGCAAATTTTTGTACAATGAAAAAATTACCAAAATAATAACGTTAGGACCTGCCTCTCCTAATATTTGCAAGTATCATTTTGATACGACAACTCACACACAATGTCACCTTGGTTTAATGTCCGTGCAGTTTATATTTTAACGAGCTTGTATAAACGTGTTTAGACACTTTATAATAATGAATGGACTAAAAGTCGCATCTCGAGATAATACAATTTTAGCAAAACAAATAAATCTAAGGTAGACGACACATGCGCTTATTAAACCAACAGATTCATTGAAAGTCAACATGAAATAATTTACTATAGGTATCTATCACAAATCCATGAGCATGTATTAGCTCTTTGAAGCGGTTTGAAGGGTTCAAGAACGTAGAATTATCTATTTGTATTAATTATAAACAACAATGACCACTAGATTTCAAAATACACATTTTTATTGATCTTCAGCAATGATTAAGGTTCCAATCACTATGCCTAAACGAGTCTAAAATAGGAGCCAGTAAAAATAATCTGCACTTTGTTATTTATCCAGTTTAATAATAGGTAAATTAAATAGATTTACATTATTCTTGTCCAAGTGAAAACCACTCATTTTCGTTAACCAACCAGAGATAAAAGGGATATACTCATACTCATAAACTAAACCCAAAAAACCTAGCAGTACTTTCATGTTGAGACCTCTTGACAAATCGTTTTTTATTTTATAATTACCTATTTATAAAAAAAATATAGGTATAATATTAATTTCCTTTGTATACTTGTAAGATAAAGACAAATATATTTATATTTATTTTTCTATAAAGGACTTGATGTGGGGAACCCACAAAATAGCTATGTTATAACTACGAATTAAATTATAAAATTCACAGGAAGGTGCCTACAGAAACCTGCACATTTACATATCCCAAACTGGAAAATCTCTATACATTTTCAACTTGGTCGCTTTTCTAATAAAATTGAAAATCTATAGCAAACATTTTAAAGCTTGATGTGCCGGTGTATGTTTTGTTTAATTGTTATTGATGCACTTACTGTTAAAATATCAATATATATAAACAACCAAGTTGCTCATTTGAGCTCAATTATTTACGTAAATTGTTTATTCCCTCCTTTATCTAATTATCTGTACTAGTGCACTACAGACAGGCTTTGATGGCAATGATGTTCATATTGATTGGCTCAGTCAATTGTAACTTTATGATGTACAGGTTACTGCAACTACATAGCACCAGTAAAAAGCAATTCGCCAGAGTACAAGTAACTATGATCCTGCTTAAACTTTTAACCTAAGACACATTTACCTGTCGAAGAGTTCCTATTTTATTTATAATATAATTATTTTTTCATAGTATGCTATAAGAGTAACAAATAACAACAGTCACAATTCAAATGATCGTTAATAATCATTAGCTTTAATTAACTATTTATTTTACATATAACTCATGCTGTATCGACTTTTAATACACTGAACTATACCTGCATTTTCATCTGACTTTGCCAGCTTTTCTGCCTTTTGTAATCTTTGACAAATCATAAATTCGATAACTTTTTTATCTGCTTGTTCTTAGTTGCATCCAGATACATAGTATGCATACAGAAAAGTGTCATCCAAACTGCCTCTTTTATTGTTACCATTATGTAAGTCGGTCATTTTCAATAACATCTTGGCCAGCTGCACATTTTATACATTTAATAATATTGTCAATTGCGTGTACTTTGCTGGATCTCAAATTTTGGACACTATGCAGCAAAATTGCACATAAAAGAGCAGGCAAATAGTAAAATTAAAATATCTTCATAAAACAAAATATATCTGCTATTTGTATGAAATAACACTGCAAAACCTTATAACCTATATATAAATGATCAATTTGGTACATACTGTACCATTCCAAACACAGGAAGGGTAATAGTTATTCAGCATTGTCGTAACGTACCCTGAAACAAGGACAAAAAACAGATGAATATAGGACCACTACCTAAAATGTTAATGAATAACAGGTAAAAATGTTTGACGGGATTTGACCATTACCCAAATCAAATTATTTTTGTATCTTTTATCAATAATGTTAAGTATGATACTTTTCTATGAATTTTCTGTAAAAATCACACCATCATATTTTTGCATTAAGCATACTTTTTTTTTTCTTAAAAATTGCCTAGAAAATATGATCAATTTTGAATGTTTATTGAATTGAAATTTTGAATTAATATATTTTTGGCCTAAGAAACTACAAAAACGTGCACTTGGATCAATGGCAATAATATCAAAATTATTAGTTCTACAAATTCCAAATGACGTTTCTAAATATTATAGTTTGACAATAGCCAATTCTCTATTGAACAAACAGGACCTTATGAGTTTTTTTTTCTTATGTTATATTATTGCCATCTAGTGAGATAAATGATATAACCCTCATTGCTAAACAAACATTTTGTTGCAAATATATAATTATGTAGGCACACCCACACAATGAAAAGGTACAACAGCAGGTGCACTCTTTGGTAGCAAACATTAAATCTATTAACAAGAGCACAATACTTTGCATGGCACGGATGTGGAAAGTCATGGGCAAAAACTAGCGACTTACTAAAAATTCGAAAACAGAAATCAACCACAAGAGAGGCGCATCACATAGATATAAAGACGAAATTAACTTGAACTCACCTTTGACGCTGTCCCTGCCTTTTGCTCAACCTGCGACCAGACGAAGGGTCTTGTAATGTAAAGCGGTTTGTAGTTTCTGGAGCCACTCTCAAGTTCCGAGAATCAACAGACCGAGCTTTGGAGACCTATACATTGATAACATTTTTAATGTTTTACATTATAAGTTAAAAGTTTGCAAGTGAGAAAGCTGAATATGGCGTGATGGTTCGATTCCTGAGTGGGAAGAGTTTGTTCATAATTTATTTTTAAATTTCGCAGTAACATTGCACTGCGTATTCACTTTTATTACATGGGACTTCTTATCTGTAGGAATTTTGTCCTTTCCTGATGATTGATCGATTTGATATTTGGTATATATTGTATGATAATATTGTAATTTTTTCCACAACTACTTCCATTATGGTAAGGGGCTAAGGGCTTGATAAAAAAATATTGTAAAATTAACATAAAAAATTAATACTATGGTAGGAGTGCTAGCTACTATCGCAGTACAATTTTTTTTTTCCATACAGTTACTTAAACTAAGCTGGAAATTTGATTGAGAATACTATTAATTTAATTCATGGCTCAGAATTTATGATTCAATAATACTAAAGCACTATTCAGGATAACATGTGCAAAAATGCATATGAGGAAATAAAGAATTGTAGCAACAAGAGTCAAAAGACTGGGCACAGGTGTACTTTTTCATAACTAATTGTAATTTAGGATTTTTTAAAAATATTTTTATGATAACTGTTGGAACCTTGCCCATCACCTGGTGCCATTTGATCGTCGACTTCAGGGTCACCTGTATATCTAGTTTCTCTTTATCATCTGTAATCAATCATTCACATACCTTTTCCATAAACTTTTTTATCAACTCGGGGCAATTTAAGTTGTCTTCTGGCTCCCAAGAATCGAATTTGCTAGACCATCCTTTCCAGTGTATAAAAAATTCTCGTTGTCCATTTTTCTTGTGACGAACTTCTAATATACGATCTACCTACAAAAAGAAATTTTTTAACCAAATATGATTTATGATTCTTTAAAAATTAAATAATTTATGATAAAGTACTTAGTAGAAGTATGTGGCTATTAATATCTGTCAGCAATTTTTTTAAAAATTAAATTGTATTTTATTTCAAAAGTAGTTAGTAGAAAATATTGATAGTATTAGGGATAAAGATAAATGAATACAATGTGGTATTCTTTTTTAATTTACAAACATATTCCAGTTGTGTCCTTACCTCATACTCTGCATTTTCATCAGCATTGCTGTCATCCCAGTCATATTTGGTACGCTTAGCAGGTGTCTTCTGAGCTTTTTTAGCTTTCCTTTTGTTATTCTTTTTTTCAGCCTTACTTTCTTTAGTTTTGGAATTCTCTTTCTAAAAAATTAATAAAACCTTGATGCTTTTCAAAACCATAGACAAGTGATTTATTTCATTTATCTCTTAAACTGTCAAACACCAAGCGGTCACCGGTGACCGCAACCTATTGTTCTATAATTGTGTCTACAAAACCGGTACTCGACGAGTTAATGCTGTTTGTGCACAACTATTCAATCTAAAGGAAATATATTTTCTGGAGGTTAATATTGTTAAGATTTCATTGTTCACAAGTGTACAACATGATTACATAACCAACCTCGGTCTAGATGTAGACTGAACTGAGTTACTGAAGCATACACTTGCAGAAGAAATGAATATCTTAAAAGATGCATATGCAAATATGTATAACATATCATAATAAAATTATAGCTAATCTATGCTAATCTATCCTATGTAGAAAAATAAATTTGTGTTAGTTACACATTTGTAACTTTATAATGGCTAAGTCAATTTGGCTTAAATTTGGTGACAAGGAACCTTGAACCAGGAGATGGACCTAGGATAATTTTTAACCAAGGATTTTCCGACATTTCGTACAGAATGGGAACAAATGGAATGGCGTGCAATTACACAGTCGCAGGCAGCAGCCAATCTATAATCTAAAACTGAACACTTTGTTATTAGGTGTTAAGGTTGGAATTGAATAATTATTTTGCATTAGATAGTAGTATAAAACATCACACTGCTACTAATGGGAGCCAAGTAGCAGCAAGTGAAAACGTGCAGAAGAAGTCCTGAAGAACAATTATTTTTTTTGGCATAAGCCGTTAATCGAGCTGACGAATCACATGATGGTAAGTAATAGGCGTCGCCCTTGGACACCTGGAACACCAGAGGTGTTACGAGTGTGTTACCGGCATTTTGGGAGTTAGGAGTTTGAGGATCATTGGGGATTCAGGGATTGGGGAGAATAGGGAAGGGGAGGGTAATTGGGCCACACGACGAACCACAACGTAAGCATTGCTTCACGTCGGTTTTCTGTGAGGCCGTGGTATCACTCAGGTCGAGCCGGCCCATTCGTGCGGAAGCATGGCTCTCCCACACATAAATTATAAAAAATATACCTAATATGGCTCTTATTACGATCAAACCTTGATTCTAGATGGACACTATTTTCTTGATGGGCAAAATAAGGAATAGTTGTGAAAATAATGTCACAAAGCATACCCATGGACACATTAAAATTTTTTTTTTAGGATTAGTATGAAATGCCAGAAATTCTCACCTCATCATTATACTTGTTGATTAGCTCAGGGCAGGATAAGGTATTTTCTGGTTCCCAAGTATCGTTGTCAGCTGAATATCCCTTCCAACGTATGAGGTAAAGCAGTTTACCTTTAATTCTTTTGGAATCCACAATTTTTTCGACCTGAAATATTAAAATATTTGCATTTTATCATTACGAAACGGACCAAACTAGTAGGTCATTATAATATTTAGGTAATATTATAGCCCTTTAAATGACTAAGGCTCAAAGTATTATTAAAAAAAATATATTCTACGAAAAAGTGTTTACAAATACAAACATGTACAAATAGTCACAAACCTCATATTCCTCTTCTGTCACCTTTTTCTCGGACTTTTTTTTCTTAGTCTTGTTCTTTGCTTTACCCTTCTTGGAAGATTCTTTGATGGTACTTGTAGAAACATTCTCATTTATTTCGACATTATCGGTTGATTCCGATTCCGGCTCTTTTTCATCTGGGTCAGCTTGGCGTTCCGCGTCGGTGGAATGTTCTTCGTTTACAACAGATCCATTCGTGGAAGACACTACATCGTCATCTGTGCGACTTTTAGATATTTTGCGCATGATGAACTTCGGTTTATAAACAATAACTTATGATAACAGTAACAATTGGTAAACCGAAAAGGAGGGAAAATCCAATATGTACTCAACGCGTAGAAATGAGCTTGATTGATAGCGGCGGCGCGGCTGTGCTTGGTGCTAGTGTTGCCAACTTCTTAGGATCATACAATACAAGGAAAGTAGGAAAATCGTATTTTATCAAGATTTCGAGAATGAAAATGGTACCTATTAAAAAATTAATTATACAACAGCAAACAGCAAATTCTGAGAGCAAGAACAGCAAGAGTCTGGCCAACGAAAAGAAAGTGACGGTAGTGTGGGAAGTGGAAAGTGTGGGATAACCATAATTCAGAACAAATAGGCGCCGGTCTATTCCTGCCGTAGTATACCACGGCCTCACAGAAAACAGACGTGAAGCAACACTTGCTTTGTGTTTCGTCATGTGAGTGAGGTTACCGGAGGCCCAATTTAGCGACCTGCCCCGGCTTCGCATGGGTGCAACATAAATGTATTATTCATATTTATAGACTTTCCATAAGAAATCGCGAATCTCGGCAGCAGGGATAAAATGTCAAATAAATAATTTACGCTATATTATAAATCAATTTACCGAGATTTTGTGGAAAATAAAATCTAAGGATTCCTTCTTTTTCTTATGGCATAAACGGATACCATATAAGGTGCCTTGGGGTAATATCGGACGGATTTTCGAATAGTTGCAAGGATGTTGCAAAAACTTTTTTTTTCTGAATATTGGTATACAGCACATTGATGAAAAATAGTGGAATCACTAATGATTAAACACAGTGTAATTTAAAATTTAATTTGTTTATAAACACTCAATACTTTTTGCTTTGTAAGCCTGTAAAATCTCTAGGCACCGCAGGCGCCGTATCCGTCCTTCTAATGCGGAGGCGAGAGAGGCGGAGTTATACGAGGGATACAGGGCGGCGAAGGCCCTCCTCAAGGCGGAGATCTTGCGGGCCAAGGAGGAGGCCCGCCGAGAGATGCTGGGGACTCTGAATAGAGACCCGTGGGGACGCCCGTACCGGATGGTGCGCGATAAGCTCCGCGCCTGGGCTCCCCCGCTGATTCAGAGTCTCCGGCCAGAGGTTTTGGAGGAGGTGACAAGCGCCCTGTTCCCCCGACCGCGGAGGCGCTTCAGGCCTCCGTATATGACTCTGCCCCCTGCGGTGCCCGACGCGGGCTATAGCGACGACGACGATGACATCGTCCCAGAGGTGACCGAGGCAGAATTGAGAGCGGCGGTGCGCCGGATGGGCGCCAAGACCGACGGCTTGCATGGCAAAGCATGGGTCCTGGCCTCGGAGGCTCTCGGGCCTCGATTGATCGGTCTCTACAGCGCATGTCTGGAGAGAGGCCAGTTCCCGCTACTCTGGAAAGCGGGCAAACTGGTCCTCGTGCGAAAGACGGGGCGCCCTGCGGATTCTCCGTCCACATACCGGCCCATAGTGTTGCTCGACGAGGTGGGGAAAGTCTTCGAAAGAATCATTTCGAACCGCCCTCGTCGCGCACCTGACGGATATTGGGCCGGACCTGTCGGACGGCCAGTTCGGCTTCCGCAGAGGGCGCTCCATGGTGAACGCCATCATGCGCGTTAGAGACCTCACGACGGGGACTGCAGTGTCCGGGGTTAAGGTCGTAGTGGCGGTGCCTCTAGACATCGCCAACGCCTTCAACTCCCTGCCCTGGAGCTGCATCTTGGTGGCACTCCGATATCATGGGGTGCCTACCTACCTCCGTCGTGTGATCGAGGATTAACTGACGGACAGGTCCGTCAGGTACCCCGGTCACCGGGGCGCGTGGAACCGGCGAGAAATGTCACGCGGTGTTCCACAGGGTTCGGTTCTGGGGCCGCTCCTGTGGAACATCGGCTATGACTGGATGCTGCACACCGACCTCCCGAACGGCGTTAGCACAATATGCTATGCCGACGACACGCTGGTGCTAGCGCACGGGAGGTCGCACCAGGCGGCGGCCGATCTAATGGCGACAGCGGTTGCGACAGTCGTTGAGAGAATCCGGCAGTTGGGACTCGAGGTGGCGCTCCACAAGTCCGAGGCCATGTGTTTTCATGGCCGCGGGAATGCACCACCTCCGGGAGGGTCCCAAATAATGGCGGGAGGGGTTACCATCGGCGTCGAGACGACGATAAAGTACCGGGGACTCGTCCTCGACAGTCGGTGGAACTTCGTGGAGCACTTCCGACGTTTGGCTCAAAAGTTGGCGAGGGCGCGGGCTCTGTTTAAGCGCATCCTCCCCAACCTCGGGGGGCCAAATGCCTCCTGCCGGAGGTTATACGCCGGGGTCGTGCGGTACATGGCCCTCTACGGCGCCCCTGTTTGGGCGCCGAACTTGTTGCGGCGTCCCGCTCGGACGCTGCTCATGGCACAGAGGGTCATGGCGATCCGAATAATCCGCTGATACCGATACACGATCTCTGGGGAGTCGGCGAACCTCCTTGCCGGATTACCGCCGTGGGATCTGGAGGCGAAGGTGCTCGCGCGCGTG